AAGCATAAAGCGGTATATACTGCAATTTTGATCACTTCATGCTTGCTTTTTCAAACTTTCCCTAAGATCTGGGAAAAAACCGTCTGAAACGATCCCCTCTACTGCCACCACGGCCCCTCCGAAAATACGACTCCCCATTCCAACCTTGTGACCTCCATCACTCCACATACGACTCTCCTAAAAACCCAAATACGATCTCCCCTTTAAGAAGTGCGCAACGCATGTGCCCCTGGTTGCAAGCCTTCACCAATGTCGTATTTACCTGAGGTCACCACTAACGGTTTCCGATTTCCACTCTGATAGCGGTGCATCTGGATCCTTGGTGTAGTAGACGATGTAGTTCTAAAAAATGCTCCTATGCTAGAGATTTCGGTGAATGATGGTTACCGTTCGTACCTTGATACGTCCATTTGGCCTTTTTGGTGGCTGCCATGCAACATCGAATCCGGTATGCATCGGTGTAGGTTGAATATGCAATGGAGCACTGCCTGGTCCAAGGATCTTCACCTCTGTCTTTGTTTCGTCTGACCCTTCAGCATTCACGGCCTGGAAAAAACATGAGATGCTTAGATTTCATTTGTGAGCCCAAAGTGGTCTTTACCTGGCAGGTAGCCACACCAGTTCTCGTGGTGCTTTGGGCAATGAGTTTGCTTGTTGAGCGGTCTTGAGCGTCCATTGGTGTGATATCATAGACTCGGAATTCATCCTAAAACGCAGAAGCTACTGGAAGGTAATACGAAACTCAACGAAGCTTAGCGAACCTTGCCGTCTTCAACCAACTGCCCACTCCAAAGCCAGATAATTCTCGGTTTGGGTACTCCAAGTGCTTCGCATTCAATGCTCAACGGTTCGTTACTCGGCTCTTTGACGATCTTATCCGCAGGAGTAACCGTCACGTGCGGTGGGCGAGCTGTAAAAGCAGAAACTTTGAGAGAACACAAGATGGAGGCTCGTGCTTCAAAGCAAAGTCCGGGCTCAGACCCACTTAAGAAGCCCTTACGTGGCTAGAAGTGCTAAATACGCAAGTGCAAAGGTAGCGCCACCTTTCTACATCGAAACGCGTCACTAGACCCTAGGCGCCATGGACTTCTAACAGACTCCACCAAACTTAACATGGTCCGCCCACCGTTCGATATCTTGTCTCGCTAACTTGATCTGCTATGCTCTC